TTGTTATGATAAAATTCTCTTTCAGGATCCTACAAATTTTCCAATATCATGAATTTGAGTGTTTTGAAAATTACAGAACAGATACAAAAAATAAGTATTTTTTTAAAAATGTAAAACATTATGATCACATTTTTTTTAATACACAATATTGATTTAAAAACAAAAACCAAGCCGTTCAAAAGCCAAAGCCGTGACAAAAGGTGTATTACTTATTTTTTTAAGATTGATGAAAAATTAATATAGATATTTTCAAATTTTATAAAGTGTATTAAAAATATCCTTACATATGGTATAAAACCAAAGAAGTCGATATTTATATTATTTTATTAATATTTCAGAACGATGTTTTTATTTTGATATAAAATTCTATACAAAAACAACAATCACAAAACAAAGGTAGAGTCTGACACCATAATCATAAAAATGAAACTTTTTTCCAGTGGAACTTCTGATTTCGAGTATAATACCTATTAAATGAATAAATAACTAGGTGTAAGTGCCATTTTGCCTTGGTAAAGTTGAAATAACAGGCATTGAAAAATTTAATTGATCAGCAAGAATTGGTCTAGATACCAATTTTTTTTAGAAGTTGGGAAATATTTTCCAGATTAATTAGCAAAAGTTTATTCGAGGAAACAAATTAGAACATAATTATTGCACTGATTTTCTAAAATAATAAGTAAATAAGAAAAATATTCTAATATCCAGGAAAGAAAATGATGGATTTAGATTTACTTTGAAAGATAAATAATATTAACTTACCTACTCTTATTTCTAATCAACGAGATTTGCTAATAATTTCTTTATGAATCTTTATAAAATGTGAGATTTAAATATCTCTTCTGGTTAAATTTTATCACAAGCTCGATGTCACTTATTACGAATATAAAAACATCTTATCTAAATTATAAAATATTTTTTAAACATATATTCATAACAAGAAATTACTCGAATTATGACGATATGTGTGATGTCACGTTGCGCAATAAAATTGTATGCGCACTACCATATGATAGAGTTTTGTTCCAGATGTTTTCATAATGATTCAATCTATAGAAAATATAAAATGACAAACTCGGAACCATTTTTTATTGATTTGTTAATAAGCAATTATCGGTAAATGAATTTTAGTTTTTAGAATTCATGAATTATAGATAAATCATATATCTGTATTAAATTACTACTATCATATGTTTTCAGATTAAATTAGTTTCAATTATTTTAAATATGGAAGATTTTTTAAATCATTGAACATGAATTACAAATAATTACAATAGACAAATTCTAATAGACTTGCGATCTTCGGGAAGAAACGGACCGATTGGGACGTAATGATTATAGAATTCTAGAGCCTCCCCCCATGTAGTAATACCTAACGGCAGTTTCCGCGAAACAAGAAAGGAGTTGAGGTTTTAATCGGTATTATACCCAGACGGTATTGAGCCCGACATACCCAGACAAAAGACCTAGTATGGGGTGCGTAAATATATTTTCTTTGCTATCAAAAAATATTCAAATAGAAGTATAGAATTTTCTTAAGTTACAAATTTAAGTTTTAAAAATCACACTGAGATGTATTTTAACCAGTATGCTGTGTTGCTCACATCGAACAGTGCGCACAGTTTTGTGCCGTCCGAATCGAGTTCATGACGTGTATATTCGTCACCCACAGAGTAAGCAGCGCAGGTAATATATATGTTGAAAAATATTGGTTTATACTACAAAATTAAAAAAGATATAACTAAAATTTACTTCTGTATTAACATAAGCACAAACATCACATACGCATTAAACTAAAAATTGATGAAATTCTATTGTATATTCAAAAATTCAATAATATATAAATGTAAATATGAAACTAAGAATAGTTTTTGACGAAAAGCACTATTTTCTAAAGAAGCCGTAGAAAATACTGTTTGGATAGCTAAATCTGATTTCTTATTTTTAATAAATCTTATTTCTTATGAATTATTTTCATATTTGTGAAGTTCATGCAACTTGCTTTAACGTAAAATGCCACTTACAACTACCTTAGTAGTTAATAGTTATTCTAAACAACTTGATACTTCAGCATATATTTTTTATATATTTGTTTTTCTCAAAAA